CCATCTCAAAAAAAAAAAAAAAACAAAAAACAAACAAACAAACAAACAAAAAAGAATGATATGTAAAAACAAAGTTTTTAGGAGGACGAATCTGCCAACAACAATTTCTCATGTTTCAATCGGAAACTTTTTTTCTTTCCAGTGTTAGAATAGAGAAACTTATTTCCTTCCCACAAATGGCAGTTCTTCAGATATCTGGAGAGGGGACAGCTTGTCTGTTTTCTAATTTCAAAAATGAATAATTCCTTTAAAAGCTTTAGATTTTGGTGCTTTTGTCATCTTGCTACAGGGCTCTGGACCCTTGGCCAGTGGTCAGCTTTAGAAATGGTCATTTAGGAAGCAAGGCTTCCCCAGAGAATGCATGTGCTGAGTTGCTGTCATGTTTGCTGGTGGACAGTTGGTCCCCTGTGTCCCCAACACCACAAAGGCTTTCATGGACAGAGTCCTTCACGGGTAAGAGAAAAAGCTGGGACACATTTTTAAAAAACTTAGTACATGTAAAAGTGATGTACTTTATAAGAAAAATGTTCTTTATTCATTTTGGAAAAAATGTAGAGTCCAAATTTATCAAAGTATAAACACTGAGAGATAAAAGCTGTGGAGATATAAAAAAGAGAAAAACAGGCACTTTGCTTCATGCGTATATCAAGAAATTTTAAAAATCAAAGACAAACTAAAATCGTCAGTAGGGTCCTGCAGGCAAAAAAGACGTCATCTAAAAAGAAGTCTTAAGGAGGGAGTGAAAAAGTAAAGATGGACGAGAAAAGTATAAGTAAATGCTGTATATCTTCCTTTAGGTTTTGAGCACCTTTTGGATTAACTGCCAAAAGAATTCCTTCAAAAGTAAGTGGGTGTGTACTGTCAGGCCTGGCTTATAGGCTTCCCTGCCTTTATAGAAATCACGTCAATTAGTTTCAGCTTCATGGAACATTAGTCATAAAGGTTGAAAGCCATGGTCTAATCTAACCTCGGGTGGCTTAATGGACTCATTTTAAACACTTTACTGTCCCTTTCTCAAGAAAATAGGAGGCACAATGAATTAAATTGCTAGGCTAACGCCAAATATCAGGAATCCTGATATTCAACATAGTTAACCCATAGGGTGGATGTAGAATCTGCAGCAAAGGTCCGGATCAGGAGCTAAGTCTCAGATAGGCCTGGATAGATTAGAGAAATCAATCATCTGGGCCAGAGACTTCAATACTGTGAAATAAATAATTGACCTTTACAGCTAATACACAGACCAGTACCCGCTACTTGGAATTCTGACAAAGAGAATAAAGTAATTTAAACCAGATTGACCTCTATAGTTTGTCCTGAGCAGAATCTAACAAAGTCCAACTTGTTTTGTTTACCTGCTTTATCTCCCATGTTGAGTAAGAATATTGTGGTCAAGATGGAAGCAGGTGGTAGGGGTCTAGCCTGAAGGGGAGAGTAGAGCAGGAAATGGGGGAGGTAAGGATAAGAAGAATTTGTTGAATGCTTTTCAGGAGGATGAAGGAGTACATCAGACAATAATATATCGTCTTTGTTACCTTTTCTTTTTACACAATGTTACAGACTTCAAAGAGATTCTATATTCCAAATCTTCACAAGATTTCTCACAAGAATATTCATACGAAGCAAGGTACATACAATGAAAATGAGACTCAAGAGATTACGTGACATGCTCAAAGTCGTCTGAATAATAAATAGCACAGCCTGGATAGACTCCAACGCAGAGCATCCTGAGTGATTTTCCCAGGAATCTTTTCATTTTTATGTCTATTTAATTCTGATGCCCCATTCATATGGAGACATATGATATGGACTTCCATTTACTACATATAAATAAAGAGCAATATGAAGATGGGATAAGGGAATGTCCAGAATGCCAGAATCACACTAGCATCAATAGTGGCAATTATCCAGATGACTGGGGAGAACACCAGAACCTTAGAAATGGTATTTTAGATGTTACCAAGCAAGACCATCTAAAGTAAGCCTTCACAGAGTTCCAGAAGCAAAGAAAACAGATGAAAAGGCATGAAGACATGAACACTCTAATAACAGTTAAAGTAAATGGGATTACTCTTGGCAAGGCCTATGAACTGTATCTGATAGGAGAGAAAAATAAAACAGTGGGTGAGGTGGTGCATCCATTCCACAGATACATCTTTTAATAGGGAAGGCAGTTATAGACAAGGTGACTATCCCTTGATTTCCATGATTTTAATATTGTGACATAATGTGTATTCATTTATATTTTCTACTGCCTATGAGTCCATACACAATTAATGGTTAAATTTTTGAAAATATGAAGAGTTTTACTCATAAAATTTATCATTCAAGGTTGGGATGCATACACTTTTGGCAAGAAAAGAGCAACAAATTTGTTAGAAAGTAGTTTTAATTGGGATCCTTTAAAGGAACCTTGTAGGATCATGTTACTTGACACATAAGGAGAGTATTGCTCAGCTTGTGGCTTCAGTGATACATTTTTTATGGACTGGTTGCCAATGATTCTCACTCACGAAATGCATAGGGAAGTCTGTTGACACTTCTTATCCTCTCTCTCTCTTTTACCTGATTTGAAGCAAAAATAGTCATTTTGGAATTAGGAGGAAAAGGACAAGTGAACTTTTGACTTAATCTTAACATTGCTGAGCTCCTGAGCTAATGAAAGCAACAAGTTCTTACTTTCAGATTTTGCATTCTGTGACTAAACAAAAAAGACTCCATTTTTAAAATTACTTTTTAAAAATACCTAATCAGATATTTTATTAATTGAAACCAAAGGCATTTCTAACTGCACCCTAACTCCCTGTCTTGTTTTCTCTTTCAGCTTTGTGTCAGTCTTTCTGTTGTGGAGCCTTTTTTTTTTAATTTTTCAGTCTTTTTGTCTGCCTAGCATTTGCGTCCCCTTTCTATGGGAGGTTATTCTTCATCTTGGTGGGAGAAAGAGCAAACTTTAAACTTTAGAAACATTAACTATATAAACTATAAAAACTAAAAATGCCAGATATGTTCTCATCCTGATTTGAAGCTAGGGTTTGGGCAAATACTTTGGGCTCTCTATATTGGATGCACTCATACCAGTTTTTGAGTAGGAAGTTAGTGACACCAAAAAACATGGAAAGTGACTCATTCTCTGATAAAGGAAGTGGTTACAGCACAATTGTGTTCTTGATATATCAGTGACAACAGTTTCTAGGACACTCAGTGTTCTAGTTTTGTGGGGGCAGAAGTAGTTTCCTCATCAGCCCAGTTTTGCAGCCTCAATTGGGTTCCAAGATTCATTGTTCTGAGCAAGATGATTCCGCTCTCCTGGTGATTCAGAGAGCTACCAATTAGTTTTTAAAATAAAGTCTTTTTTATCCTCCCGTTCATTCAGTCGTGATTGATTTATTTTGCTTGATGTATTGTCTATCTCTTAGGCCAAAAGAATAGACGCCAGAGAAGAGGAGCCTGGCTGGTGGAAACATCTCGCCTTTTCTGCTTGGGTATGCTGTCACCTTTTACAAATGAATAAGCATGTTAATAAGCTGACAAGAGAAAGAGAGAGGAAGAAAACACTGAAAAAAATAAAAATAGGCCAGACTCTGTGGCTCATGCCTGTAATCCCAGCACTTTGGGAGGCTGAGGAGGGCGGATCACAAGGTCAGGAGTTTGAGACCAGCCTGGCCAATATGGTACAACCCTGTCTCTATTAAAAATATCCCAAAAAAATTAGCTGGGTGTGGTGGCAGGCGCCTGTAGTCCCAGATACTCAGGAGGCTGAGGCAGGAGAATTGCTTGAACCCAGGAGGCGGAGCTTACAGTGAGTCGAGATTGTGCCATTGCACTCCAGCCTGTGCAACAGAGCTAGACTGTCAAAAAAAAAAAAAAAAAAAAAAAAGAATTACAGCATTTATGACAATCATGGCATTTATGGCTTTAAGGATCTGTGTAAAAAACTATTGGTAACACTTTAGGGTACGTTTAATGATATCAATTGATATGTCTCTATCGTTCATTCATATATCCTTCATTCATTAGGTAGCCAGGCTCTGTGCTTCTTTGTCTCAAGGATGTTTTGAGTTTGAAAAAAAAACTGAAGTTTTACTTCCAACCTAGGTTTTCATTTTCTAAGTCCATACCTTTTGATAAAATTGTGCTTGATTCCCTTGAAAGAGAGGAGAGAGAGAATGCCTCCTAAGTAAAATAAAAAAAAAGGAATTACTTTTATTCATAGTGAAGAGTTTCCTTACACCCAGTTTCCTTACTCCTAGATCTGGAGATCTGTGATACCTCCAGACAGGAGTGCAAGGACACAGAACCACTGTAGGGATCCCTCAAAGGCCACAGCCGGGCCCTGCTCACTATCAGTGCTGTGTGGAGGAAGTAAGACTTCAGGAGGAATGTTGGTGGGTTTCAGGCTTGCCAAAGTTTGCTCCATCCTCAGTGTGGTGCACCGAAGCATCAGTCAGGAAGAAGGCTGCATTTGGAGGGACCCTGTGGAACAGATTCCAGTGTCTAGGTAGTAAACACTGGACACATGGCCAATGACCCAGGGGCCACCTTATGTCATTGTGCTACCTAAGACCTTCACATACTTCATTACCCTGGTAGTAGAGGGTCCCCAAGAATTGCTGAGATAGATTTTTTACTATCTTGGCAAGAAGTGGACAAGAAGTAAGTATTAAGTCCATTTATAGAAAATAAAGAATTGCATTATTATATTAGTTTGTTAGGGCTGTCATAACAAAGTACGTAGACCCTATGGGTTAAACAACAGATATTTATTTTCTCAAAAATATGGTGGCTAGAAGTCCAAGTCAAGTGTCAGTAGAATGATTTCTCCTGAGGCCTTTCTTGTCTGGTCTTCTCCCTGTGTGTTTACTGTGTGTGCATGGTCTTTGTGTATCTGTGTCCTAATCTCCATGTGTTAATAAGTACACCACTCATATTGGATTAGGCTCCCCATATGACCTAATTTTTCCTAATTTACCTTTTTAAAGACCCTATCTCTATATACTGTCACACTCTCAGGGACTGTACTTTAGAACCTCAGCATATACATTTTGTGGGACACAGTTTATTCCATAACAATTATATTTTGCCCAACTGAGTTTGAGATTGTGTTCAAGTTTTCTCTCTGATGATGTTACAAATTATTATGTTACTAATAATACAAATAATAATAGCAAATAGGTATTAGGCACTTTTAAAAAACATTTTATGTGGTAACTCATTTAATCCCTGCAATAGTCCATCGTAAGAGATATATTGTTCACATTTTATTAGTCAGAAAGCTGAGGCATGAAATATTTCTGTAACACTTATAAACACGAGGCTACACTGTATCCCAATAAAAGTAATACAGTACTTACTGAGCATGGAAAGTATGGCATAACTGATCCTCCAGTTGGATCAGAGAAGGGATTTTTGCTCACTATGACATTTCCCATTTTGTTCTTGGTTCCTGAAGGTTCTGTCCTATCATTTAACATCGGTAGCTGTATTAGTCAGGGTTCTCTGGAAGGGCAGAAGCAATAGGATACATGTATATATAAAGGGAAGTTTATTAAGGAATATTGACTCACAGGATGACAAGGAGAGGTCCCACAATAGGCTGTCCGGAAGCTGAGGAGCAAGGAAGCCAGTCCAAGTCCCAAAACTGAAGAACTTGAAGTCCAATGTTCGAGGGCAAGAAGCATCCATCACAGGAGAAAGATGTGGGCTGGGAGCATAAGCCAGTCTAGGCTTTTTTTTTTTTTTTTTTTTTTAAACATTATTCTGCCTGCCTTTATTCTGGCCACAGTGGCAGCGGATTAGATAGATTGCGCCCACCAGGATTGAAGGTGGGTCTCCTTTCCCAGTCCACTGACTCGAATGTTCATTTCCTTTGGCAACACTCTCATAGACACACCCACAACGATACTTTGCATCCTTCAATCCAATCAAGTTTACACTCAATATTAATCATCACAGTAGCCATTGGTAATGCTAAAATTGGCTGGCTAGTCATCAGAGGTGAGATAAAACTCTTGAAATTATCTTATTATTATTATTATTTTTGTGTGTGTGACGGAGTCGCGCTCTGTCACCCAGGCTGGAGTGCAATGGCACAATCTTGGCTCACTGCAACCTCTGCCTCCCGAGTTCAAGTGATTCTTCTGCCTCAGCCTCCCGAGTAACTGGGACTACAGGCACATGCCACCATGTCCGGCTAATTTTTGTATTTTTAGTAGAGACAAGGTTTCACCATACTGGCCAGGCTGGTCTCGAACTCCTGATCCACCCGCCTCAGCCTCCCAAAGTGCTGGGATTACAGACATGAGCCACCACGCCCGGCCAAAATTATCTTCTTTTTTTATTGTAGGGTACAGATATTTGGGTTTCTGGTTTCTATGTTATAGATAAAATCATAGTATAGAAATGCTGCGAGTCTACAGCCTTATTATTTTTTTTTAATTTAATGGGCCTAGATTTCGCTCTGTAATAAGAAATATTGCCAAACCTAAATCATTAAGGGTGCAATCTCCCTGGGCATTTAAAGTCTTATTTTTCAGTCTTAGGATCCATCCTCCTTGTTCAGTTTATTTGGTTGTTTTTTCGTACTCTTCAGGTTTGAGTGACTTTACTGGGAATTATGCGAGTCAGGGTCTACAAGATATTGATCTAGGACTTATTTCCTTTCTCTAATCATTTCAGGTCAAAGCTCCATTCCACTCTCTGGCTTCCATGGAGGAAGGGCTGAACTGTGCCAAGTTATTTTGAGGTCTGGGACAAAGAATTGAGCACAGTGGTGAGTTGTTTTGAAATGAGAGACCGAGCCAAGGATATGTTCACTTAGTGAGAGGTCGCATCTTCTGCAAATAAAAAAGCAATCAGATCTCTCTCAATAAGACTGGTTGTTATGTGAAGGCACTATAAAGTATAAATAATATGCAAATTGTATTTATTGTTGCTATTGTTCTCTACTTCTGTGGTGTAACCCAATAGTAGCAGATGCTAGTCACTTTATAAAAACTGGAACTAAAAATCAAGAACTACAGTTGACCTTTGAACAATATAAGTTTGAACTGCATGGGTCTACCTATAATCAGGTTTAAAAAAAAAATACAACTGGGCTTCTATATTGGCTGGTTTGCCACCCACTACCAAACAAACGCATTGAAAACACAGTGTTAGCAGGATGTGAAACCTGCATATACGGAGGGCCGGGGGGCGAATTTCATATCTGCAGGTTCTGCAGGGTTGACTGCGGGACTTGAATATGCACCAGCTTTGGTGTTTGTGGGCAGTCCTGGAACCAATACCCCGCAGATACCAAGGGATGACAATATTTATTTTGAAATAATAATACAAAAACATTTAACAAAATGATTATAGCAATTCATCTTAATCCTGGCTTCGCAGTAGAATTGCTAGGAGGCTTCTACATAGTCATGTCTGACTCTATCAAGATTAATTACATCAGCAGCCCTTGAGGTAAGGCCCGAGTATTACTAGTTTTTGAAACTTTCCAGGTGATTCTAACATAAATCAAAGATTAAGAATCAGTGAGCTATAGGAAGAGCTATCAGGCTTAGTTAGCTACCAGCTGCATGTAATTAAAACTCCTGAGTAAGAGTGGATTAAATAAAATAAATATATTTTTTCTCTTACTTAAAAGAAATCTGGAGGGAGACACTGCAGGGCTGGTGTTCTGTGCTGCTATCAGGAACCCACGCCCATGCCACCTCTTTCTCAGCATGTGACTTTCATTCACAAGATCACCTCATAGCAAGATTTGTTATGTATGTAACCATTATTTATTGGGCGCCTACCCTATCACTGGAACTGTTCTAGGTTCTAATTGCATTTTAGATACAGTGGCCACAAAATACCTTGCTGAAAAGTTGATGTTTGAGTAAAAAACTAAAGGAGGTTTAGGAGCAAGCCATGCAGATATCTGTGGTAAGTATTCCACACAGAGCAAAGAAACCTAAGTCCCTGCTGTATTTGCAGAAAAGCAAAGAAGCCAACGTGGCTAGCACTAAATGAGTACAGTGTTAAGCAGGAGGGACATGAGACAGATGGGAGAGGGGGACATACTGAGTAAGCTTTCTAGGCTCTGAAAAGACTTTCAATTCATTTCGCCCCTGAGAGTACAAGGTGGGTAGGGTGTTAAACAGAGAAGAGACATGATCTGACTTATGCTTTAGTTTCATTAGGATCATTTTGGCTGCTGTGTTAGAGAATAAACCAACTAATGGACCAGGTAAAAGCCTAAAGACAAGTCAGAAGGCTGTTGTAATTATCAGGGTGAGAGATGCTGGTGGTTCCAACCAGGATGGTAGCTGTAAAGGTGATAAGAAGTGTACTGATTCCAGATTTAATTTGAAGATAGAGCCAATACTGTTTGTAAACAAAATGAGGGTGGCACAAAAGCAAAAGAGAGGAGTCAGAATGGTTCCAAAGGTTTTGTGCTGATAAACTGGAAGAATGTTGCCGTTTACTGAGATGTGGAAGACTGCAAGAGGAGAAGATTTGGGTTGAGACCAAGAGTTCAGTTTCAACATGTTAAGTTAAAATGCCTATTAGACATTTGTGTCAGTTATCAATTTATTGCCTCTCAGTTCCAATGTATGCTCTGTGATAAATAATAGCATTGCTTTAAGCATTTCTCCTTTAAAGTGAGCACAATGATAAAATTTCTCAGTAGACAGTGCTGGGGGGCATTGCAAGGAGACTTTCCTGCCGTTTCTGTCAGAGGCTAGGCGTTGGCATCGTGGGCGTGAACACATCCAGCGAATCCTCCTTTGTCCTAGGATCAAGACCCGGTCCCTCTGTGTCCTTGAAGCCTCAGCCTGGCTGATGATAACATTTTTACTTTTTTTTTTGTTTTCTTTGCAGCCCCATTAACATGGACACCAGAGTCCCTACATTCTGTGAGGGCCTTCTTCCTCTGCTTGTGCCCCAGTTCCCTCTGTAAACCACTGGCTAATGATCACCTTGTCACATCAGCACTCCAGAGAGGGGCCCATTGCTTTCCCAGCAACTACAGACTGGCCTTCTTTATTATCCAATAGTCTGAACTGTAACCTCTCCAGTAAAATTTGAATTTCTTCCAAGTTTTTCCTTGCTTGAGTATCCTCCCTCAGTCTTAGGGTACCATATGTTTGCTTTTTTATAATAGTTAATAATTCTTTATTTTACACTTCCCTGTTTAACCTACTGTCTGGTTTCTATCTGCTAGTTAGACACAGGCTACTATAACCCCCAGCTGAAGATGACATGTAGGCAGTTGGAAATATAAGCTTAGAGTTCACAGGATAGATTCTTGGTGGGAATACACATTTGGAGCCAATATTGTATAAATAAGGACGAAAAGCATGAGACTGAATTGACTCTTAAAGGAAGTGCATTTATAGAGAAAAGAGAAGAGATACAAGACTAAACCTTGTTCTAAAATTTGCAGGAAGAAGAAATAAGGAGAATGTAGCAAAGGGGCTTGAGAAGCAGCCTTAAGAAATAGAGAAAGACACAGGAAAGTATTTAAAGGAGGATAATATAGTCAATTATGTTAAATGAAACTGGTCAATTTATAAAATGGTGGAGAATTTGCCATTGGATTGGGCAGTGTAAAGGTATTTGGTTTCAGCAGTTTCACTGGGGAAGAGGGAATTAAATTCTAATAGATGTGGGTTCCTGAAAGAATGAGACAACAAAATTATCGACAGTTTGTATAGATTCTTTTAAGAAGCTTTGCTGTGAAAAAAAAAAGAAATGTGGGTTAATGGATAGAGGACAGTGTGGAGTTAAGGGATGAGTTCTTGTCTTTTTAAGTGATAAAAGGAAAAACAGTGTTTTTTTTTTGTTTGTTTTTTGTTGTTTTTTTTTTTTTTTGCCAATGGGAAAGTTCCAGTAGGAAAAAAAATTGTTGATGAAGAAGAGAGAGGAAGTAATTCTTGGAATACTGGAGCAATGTCTTTGAAAAGAACGGAGGAGATGGGATCTTGTATACAGGTGGTGGGGTTTATCCACAGTCACAGGAAAGAAGACAAAATACCTGGGGGACACCAAATACTACTATATAAGTCGATATGGTGATGGAAACATGTAGAAGAATTCTTTTGATTAAATCCATTTTTCCCATATAAGAAGTAACATTATCAGCTGAGACTAAAGGTGTGGGAGGAGGGGTTCCAGGCTTGAGAAGACAGAAGTTATACATAACTTCTTGTATATGTCTTGAGAAGATATAGTTTACAAAGAGTGGAAGAATAAATTAACTAAAGAAAGATACAGTTTGCAAGTGACTTTATGAGTCAGTAGTCATGGTGAAGTTCGAGGGAAGATGGCAGAGCAAGAAGCACCAGAAATACATCTCTACACATAAACAACTATTGCACTGACAGAATCTGTCTGATGTAGTTATTTTGGAACTCTGGAGTCTATTGAAGGCTTCCAACCTCCAGGAGAAGGCTTGGAAGGTAAACTGTGGTTACTTTCAGTCACTTTTATCTTTTGGCCCAGTAGTCGCTACCCTTTCCCTCACTCCTGGCCCCATACCAGACAGCCTGTACACAGATACCTGGAGCAGTTTTTGGGAGGCAGTGTGGGTGATAAGGACTCTCTGTTCACTAAATACTGAAGGTTTGTTCTCTGACTGCTGATTGCTGCTCTGGTAGTGAAGATGCTGACACAGAGGCACGGAGCCATTATTGCCTTCCTTTTGCAATCCTGTCCCCTTCCAGCTGTGGTGACTTCCAGGGAATTTAAAGTATTATCTCTGCTTCATTTTTCTCCTTTCCCCCTTTGTGGTGCTAGATGTTTAATCACTGAAATATTCAAAAGAAACCACATATACAGGGGAATTTAGAAAGTGACTATGCATACCAAAGGAAAGTACAGACTCAGGAAAGACCTGAGAAGATCTTAAATCCATGCCTTGGGCTGATTACCAGCACGTGAATACTCTGCAACAGTAAGAAACAAAACAAAACAAAATAAATCAGCAAACCTTGAGGAAGGAGAAGGACCTGAGAAGGATCTACAAATTTACCACATTATAAGATTTGAAAGTCCAGTATTCAATGACAAAAAAATCACATCATATAAAAAGATAAGAAGGCATTACCCATTCAAAGGAAATGAAATTAATAAACAGAGCCCATTTCTGAGACAGATCATATGGCAGACTAACTAGGCAAAGACTTTAAAAGAACTGTATTAAAGGTGCTCAAAGAGTGAAAACGAGAAGACAAAGTCAAGAGAAAATAATGCAACAAGAATGGAAATATTAATAAAGAGATTGAAAAGTAACCAAAAAGAAATTCTGGAACTGAAAATTACAATAACTGAACTGAAAAACTAATTAGAGCTATGGAAAAGCAGATATAAGCAGGCAGAAGAAAGGAATTATGAACTTAAAAACAGGACAATCAAAAGGTCTGAGGTACAGAATGAACAAAAAAAGTTTGAAGAAAAGTGAATAGAGTCTAAGTGATTTTGTGTACACCATTAGATAGTCCGACATCTGCATTGTGGGAGTCTCAGAAGAAGAAAGAGAGAAAGAGGAAGAGAATATTTGAAAAAGTAATGTTGAAAAACTTCCCAAATTTGAGAAAAGATACGTATACAAACATCCAAGAAACCCAACAGACTCCAAGCAGAATAAATTCAAAGAGACTCATGTTGAAGCACCTTTAAATAAAATATTAAAAGCCAAAGACAAAGACAGAATCTTGAAAGTCACAATGGAGAAGCAACTTTCTACATGTAAGGGATGACTGGTAAGAATATCAGTAGATCCTCGTCAGAAACTTTGGAGGCCAGAAGGCAATAAGTTGGTATATTTAAAGTGCTGAAGAAAAGAAACAAAACAAAACAAAAAACCTGTCAA